ATTAACGGTCTTTGTGAATACGCTGAATGGTAAGAAGCTGGATCTGTGCACAATATACAGCCTTCCTTCCTTGTAGACTGCCGCCTCATGCCAATTTGCCTGACCCGCCAAGTGGTTGCCTGCACGCTCTTGGCTTAACAGGACCTAAACCAGTCTTTCTCAACCGCTTTATCCCAGAGGCACCCTTAAAATAGTTATACGGTCTCAGGGAACCCTTACTTTAACCAATTCATTGGGAGTCCATGGCAAAAATGCCTCTTACATTGGTGGTCATTAGGAGGAACGAAACCCTTAGTGTTGGTCATTAGTAGGAACAAAACCCTTACATTGATCGTTAGGAGGAACGAAACCCTTACAGTGGTGGTGATTAGGAGGAACAAAACCCTTACATTGGTGATCATTAGGAGGAACAAAACCCTTACAGTGGTGGTGATTAGGAGGAACGAAACCCTTAGTGTTGGTCATTAGGAGGAACGAAACCCTTACAGTGGTGATCATTAGGAGGAACAAAACCCTTACATTGGTGATCATTAGGAGGAACAAAACCCTTACATTGGTGATCATTAGGAGGAACAAAACCCTTACAGTGGTGGTGATTAGGAGGAACGAAACCCTTAGTGTTGGTCATTAGGAGGAACGAAACCCTTACAGTGGTGATCATTAGGAGGAACGCAACCCTTACAGTGGTGGTCATTAGGAGCAACGCAACTTGGTGGCCAAAATCCCATTCTTACAGACAACTAAAAATAAAATTAGTGTCATGGTGCTGGCTTTGCACAAGTGGCATTGGCCCTAGAACTATGCAGGCTCCATCAAATGGGAGGTCAATCAGCCACAGCGTAAGGAACCCCTAGTGACCTGTGGAGGAACCCTAGGCTTCCACGGAACACCTGGTTATAAAAGGACGACTTAAACCATTGACTATCGGTTGAATTTTACAAGCCTATGCCTGCCTTTCATGAGCTTGAATTATAATAGTTCATTACTAGACAATCCATAGAATATGTAAAAGCAGCGGTAGGCAACCTCGGCACTCCAGCTGTTGTGGAATTTCAAATCCCATAAGGCATTGCAAGACTCCAACAGCCACAGGCATGACTCCCAGTGTCTTGATGGGATTTGTAGGTTCTGAGGTTGCCCACCCCTGGTTTAAAGCGTTCACTTGTTAGACTGCAATCAAACAACCTTTCCTTTTTCTGTATATTTTATTTGCCATACACCCACCCCCTGAACCCCGCCCCCCCTCCTTTTTGTAACTGTTAAACCTCTGCCTATAACTACAACAGAGAGATCTGTTCCAGCGTACCAGTTCTTCAGCCATTTGTGGCCGTAGCGAGTCGGTGTGTTTATTGTATGTTTTGTTCGTGTAAATAAAGCTCTTTCAATTGTCATGTTCAAGGCCCGAAGCAAGGTTCTAGGAAGGAAATTTCAATAGGAATAGACTATTTTGATATTGTTCTTTAAGAGGTTGATATATGTGTACATATCTATATTGTATATATGTGATAAATGGATTTGGCTCTTTGTTTTTTTTTGTTTTACTTTTAAATGTTTGCCTACAAACGTCAGGTGGTCATAATAATGTGGCCACTCAGTGTATGCTCCCTCTAGTGGTCATCTGTATTAGGTAGGTATGCACCAATACCGATACTAGTATCGGTGCCTAGTATTTGGGTAAGTACTCATACTCGCTCCAATGCCTAGCCCGATACTTCCAGTATCAGGAAGCCGGCTCCATGCTCCCTAGTCAACGAGGGAGCATGGAGCCGGCTTCCCGGCCAATTGGGAAGCCTGGCAGCATGTAATGACTCCCTACCCGGCTTTCTGATTGGTCGAGAAGCTGACTTCATGCTCCCTCGTCACCTTCTGACGAGGGAGCCGGCTTCCCGGCCAATCAGGAAGCCAGGCGCCGTGTCATTACACGGTGCCCAGCTTCCTGATTTGCCAGAAAGCTGGCTCCATGCTTTCTCGTCACCTAGTGACTAGGAGCATGGGGACTGCTTCCCTGCTAATCAGCAAGTCAGGTGGTGAGTCTTCTTTTAGATTGTAAGCCCTCAGGGGCAGGGCCCTCCTTACCATCTTGTCCTGAATTGTATTCCTTATGTTGTAAAGCGCTACGCAAACTGTTGGCTTGATATAAATCCTGTATAATAATAATAATACACGCCACCTGGCTTCCTGAATGGGACTTCTGGTATTGGTGAGTACCGGGAAAAAATATATATATATATTGGTACTCGATAAAGAAATACCGGTATCGGTGCATCCCTAGTATTAGGGAATGGGATTGGCGTCCTATGTCTAAAAACCTAGAAAATTTCACGTTTGGAATATGATGGTAAAAATGCAGCATCATGGGTAACCCTTCAGTGACAACCATGTCCTGCTCTCTGTAGATCCAGAGACATGGGAAGCTGGCATTGTATGTAGGTGAAGTTTTCCTGGAAATTGAACTCCCTCCTGTACAGCTCACCTCCTGATCTACTGAGCCGACCTGTGACAGTCTCATTGTCACAGGTCGGCTAGAACTATGAGGTGAGTGAAAAAGCACTCACCTCATAGTTCTCCTTTTTAAAACACATTTTTCTTTTGCTTACAATTACTGTTTTTCCACTTCCTGGTCCTCTCGGGCATTAGTGATGTAATGTGCCCAAGCGTTGCATCCTGGGAAGATTACAGCAGCAGAGCATTGCTGGGAAATCTCGTCTGTAATCTGATGATCTCAGGGAAAGACTTTTTCCTCTCCTGAGATGATGTGCATGGTCACATGTGCCAGAGTTCCAGGAAGTAAAGGGAAATATATTACTCTGCCCTTAGTAAAAATGTCTGTGAAGGTTCTCATTCATCCAGGTCAGGGTATATCTGTAAAAATTAACTCAAGGCAACTGAACTTGCTGTATTTTTCTTGAAGTGGTTTCACTGGTCTCATGTTTCACCAGTGAAACGTCTTCAAGAAAAATACTGCAGGTCCACTTGCCTTGAGTTAATTTTTACAGATATTCCCACAGTGGCCATTTTTACTAAGTATAACGGGGAGGAAAATAAAAATAAGGTATATAAAGAATACAAAGCTGGCACTTATCTAGAAGTATCTGATTGTAGGTTATCGTCACTAAACATTTCTGAAGGTACCTTTGTTGTCATTTCAAAGATAAGGGTAAAGTTCCTCTTTGAGGGTCTGTTCAGATAGACCAGTCCTGCTCCAGTGTGTTAGGGCAGCCCAATCAATGAAGATGCCACAATGGACCAAAAATGTGTGCATGGATCCTCCTCATCAGCGGCACACGCAATGCAAGATAGTGTGTGTGGAGAAGATGCGTTGGGGTGCCATTTAGAATGAATGACACTACAGCAATGGTAAGGCACGTGGTACGGCAGCCCTCAAGGTCCTATATAAAAGAGCTGGACTGAGGCTGACCTATAAAACAAAAATTCATGATTTGCATCTAACATAAAGGAGTTGTAAAGTCCCAGCATATCCTCTCCTGCTATAACATCAGCATTGTAATAGGAATACATACTGGAGATCTGTCTGATAATACAATCAAAGCTTACATAGGAATAACAAAAATCCCTTTTATGTAATGAGTGCTGCTTTCAGTCTGCCCATCACTTTCACCAACTTCCTGGATCCCCAGTGTGCTTTGCGGCTCTCTGCCTGCTGCTTGATGTGATACAATCATCATTTCTCAAGACTACATTTCCCATCATGCATTGCTTCCAGCAAGCAGTGATAATGTTACATTGTTCAGAAGCTGAGTCGTAGTTCAGAAGGTGGGCTCTGCAAGAGGTACATTATTTACAGGGCATTCAGGAAACACATCCTATGGACATCTTCAATAAGGAAGTTTCTGAACGTCTAGATGGGTCTGGTTATTAGGAGCGGCATACTTGTAACACTGAGCAAGCTCACAGTGCTCTCCCAGCACAGAACAGTGGACACATATATGGCGGCTGGGCATTATGGACCACCTTGCTGCTGCTGCCACACATATGTGGGATCTAGTCAGGAAGTGGTTAAGCTGACTAGTGTGAGGCCTTCCTGTTGCTGATCTCATAAATAAAATAAAGCTATAAAGATGTTACCAGTAAAGAGCCTCTGCTGACGGAAGCTGCCCTGTTTCTGCGGAACTGTCCCCCAAAGTTTGCTGGGCAGCCAACACTTCCAGGGTGTCCATCCCCTTGTCCCCCACCAGACATCACATGACCAGAGTGAAGACTGCTCCAATATAGGTATGTATAAAAGAAGAAATTTGGGGGAAGAGGGGGGTCTGTGTCACCTGGTGCTGGGATTTAATGTGGTCCTGAACCCAAAAGGGAAGAGTTGGTAGGGTTCTAGGGCGGTTTGCATGCAAATACAACCTGCCTTGCTTTAGGACTGAGGGATCCTGAGAGGAGTACTGAGACAGGGTTCTGTGATGTTTTCAGGAAGCTATGTAAAGCACCCTGCCGACCCCTCCCACCAGCTATGATCTGCCTGCATTGTAAACAGAAGCACAGAGACCCAGTGATGAGATCACTGGATCTAAAATAAGGTGTGTAATGAGAATGGAAAGGTTTTATTAAAGAGTATTATTAGCATGTTGATGAAAGGGAGGGGGGGGGAAAGCAGTGGTGGAAAAGCAGTCCGTCTCTGTAAGTAAAGCAAAATAAAGAATTGTAATATGAATCCACTCACTCCTTTCCTTACACTACTTAGCGTGTGTTACAGGAAACACAGCCTGCAAAGCAAGCAAATCAGTAGTACTTTTACTTGCTGCATGCTTGTCATTTGCAAGTATGTAAGCCGGAGCCAGCCAGACAACTGGCATTTTTAAGGATGGCAATCCCTTTCACACCATGTTTCCTGTACTCTGCCATCTAGTGATCAGTATAAATACTGCACAGGCTCTCCTAGAAATTGACAGTTCTGGTATTTGCCCGAATCAAGGATGGCGCCTGGGAAATTCCGGTCGCGCCGGAAGTGACGCAGAAGCCGGAACACCGGCAGTAGTGCATTGTAAGGTGACAGATCAGTCGTACTGCGGGTCGCGGCACACCATGGCGGATGAGCTCCGGCGGGACTTCGCGCCCCCACAAGTCGACGTGGAAGAGGCAGGCCGGGCCATGGAGCAGTTCGCCCGGGGACACAGCACGGAGGGGCGGCGGGTAGTGCTCGTCACCTCGGGGGGAACCAAGGTTCCGCTGGAGTCCCGCACGGTGCGCTTCCTGGATAACTTCAGCAGCGGCCGGAGAGGAGCCGCCTCGGCCGAGTACTTCATGCAAGCCGGCTACGCTGTCATCTTCCTGCACCGGCACCGATCCCTCTTTCCGTACAACCGCCGCTATAGCAACCAGAACTGGCTGGACAATCTCCGCCTAGTGCCCGCCTCCGGAGGGGAGGAGCCCCGGTTGGAGGCGGAGCTGAACCGCTTGCCTGGCATAGTAGAAGTCCTGGAGGATTATAAGAGGGTGAAGGAGACCGGGAGGATGATGGCCTTGGAGTACCACACCCTGTCCGACTATCTGCACCTCTTGCTGGCCGCTGCCCGGGCACTCAACCCACTAGGTGGGCATGGCACCTGGGGGGACCCCAAACACCCAACTCTCATTCCTGTATGGGTGGTATAGCGACACTCAACCCACTAGGTGGGCATGAAGCCCGGTGACCCCAAACATCCACCTCTCATTCCTGTATGAGTGGTATAGAGAGACTCAGCCTGCTAGGTGGGCATGACACCTGGGGGTACCCCGAATACCCACCTCTTCCTGTACAGGTGGTATAGAGACACTCTGCTGGGTGGGTATTACATATAGGGTGACCCCCCCAAAAAAAAAACACCCACCTCACCCAACTAGTAGGGCATTGCACCCAGGGTGACCCCAAACCTCCACCTCTCATTCCTGTATAGGTGGCATAGAGGCACTCTGCTAAGTGGGCATTACTCCAAGGGTGGCCCCAAACCCCCATCTCTCTTGTATGGGTGGTATAGAGACACTCAGCCTGCCCCGAACACCCACCTCCCCTTCCTGTATGGGTGGTACAGAGGCAATCAGCCCACTAGGTGGGCATGACACCTGAGGTGACCCTATTTACCCACCTGCCCAGTCCTGTCTGGGTGTAAGGAATGGTATAATGGTCCTCTGCCCTTGTGGGCATTACACCCAGTGTGACCCCAAATACCTTCTTCCTGTCAGGGTGGTATGGAGACACCCAGCCACCAAGATTATACTTAGAGGGTGACACCAAACACCAACCTTCCCTTCCTGTTTAGGTCCGAGGAGTGGTATAGAGGTCCTCAGCCTCCTAGGTGGACATTATCAGGAGGTGACCCCATCCACCTGGCTGCCCATTCCGTATGGGTGTGTGGTGTAGAAGTCCTCAGCCCACTCGGTGGCCACTAGTCTGGGGTACCCAGCCTTCCTTTCCTCAGCCAGCTAGGAGGCCATTATACTTGGAGGGTGAGTCCAGCCATCTTCCACTTCCTGTCTAGGTGTGTGTTCTCTAGATGTCCTCATACACTGGGATGACCTTCCATAGTGTAGTCTTCCTTGACTCAGCCTGCTAGGTGGACATTACCCCAGGGGTGATCCCAAACACCTTACCTGTCCCTAGATGCCAGCTAAATGGGCATTGTGCTTGGTGGATGACTCGCACCACCACTCCCTTCCTGCCTGGGTGAGCGACGGAGGCCTATGGGCAATACACCTGCCTGGGTGTGTGTAGTATAGGGGGCACAGATCTGGGGTTATTGGCACTGCCAGTCTCAGCATTTCCTGTATGACGTGGAGTAGTCTTCCTGTCCTTAGCTCACTAGGTGGGCAGAGCACTAAGGTTGGTATCCACCTGCCTGTTACATCATAAGGGGCACAAATTAGAGAACATTACACCAGAGTATGACGCCCCCACCTTCCCCTTCCTGCCTGCCCGGGTGTCTGCACTGTAAGAAGATAGATCTGGGGGTATAAGAAGAGATCTGACAACGGTAATTGTTATTTCCTGTCTGCCAGTGAGTAGTATTATTTCTGGTTGTCAGCCTAGGTGGGAATTTGGGGGGTGGGGTTTCAGCTTCCCTGTTTGTCTAGATGTGTGATAACGGGCACAGAGCTGGGTGTAGAGGGATCAGACGCTGGTGGCTCTGGTCTCCTTTTTTCTTGCATGCCGAGGAGTATTGTTGCCTCTTCCAGGTCAGGGGACTCAGTATTGCAAGCCAGAGACAGGCAGCAAGCCCTTTAGAAGGAAGTCATTACTATAAAAGTCCCTTTAAGAATATCAGAGCCAGCTCCTGGGGAGTATTCCAGCTCCGCTCTCCGGACTGTATTACCAGCCTCAGGACAGCAATGTAATGTACACAGTACTACTCGGAGATTGGGGGCAATGCAGCTGCCTGTCCAGACTCGGGTGGTCGGTGGGGATAGGAGCTCCTCCATATAATGGCAGTATGTCGGCTCGCTCTTTACTTTTCATACATCTGATTTCTGTCTTTTATTCCAGGATCAAGTGCCATGTTCTACTTGGCTGCGGCAGTGTCAGACTTCTACATCCCAGCGTCCGAGATGCCAGAACATAAGATTCAGTCGTCTAGTGGGCCACTGCAGGTAATTTATAAACTCGCAGCAAAGCCAATTCACTATCCGTACCTTGTGAAGAACTTTATACATCTGTACTGTACATTGCGCACCTTCCAAAAATGCTAATTACCTGGCTGTCTCTGCAAACACTTGCCAGCACACTCACCAGCAAACACTTGCCAGCACACTCACCAGCACACTCACCAGCAAACACTTCCCAGCACACTCACCAGCAAACACTTCCCAGCACACTCACCAGCAAACACTTGCCAGCACACTCACCAGCAAACACTTGCCAGCACACTCACCAGCCAGCCTGCGAAAAACAAATCACATTGTCTAACTAATAGGCCTCCTTCACACCAGATGCAGTGCATTCCGGCCCGATTCTGGGCAGAACGCACTGCATCGCATTGTGGCCAGCTCACTATGTTGTGGGGCAGGAGGGGGCACCGCAGTCACGCCCTCCAGCCACGATGCGATTGGCCGCGCAAGAACGCAAGGCACATTATGCCTGCAGTCCGGTCTGAACAAAATAGTGCTTGCAGCATTTTGTTCGGACCAGATCGCAGGCATAAGGTGCCTTTGTTCCTGTGCGGGCGATCACATTGAGGCCGGAAGGTGTGGCTACGCTGCCATTCACTTTACTGGACCACCACGTCCCCTCCTGCCCCACAACATAGTGAGCCGGCCGCAATGCAATGCAATGCGTTCTGGCCCGAATCGGGCCGGAACGCACTGCATCTGGTGTGACTGAGCTCCTAGGGTTAAAAACGGAGGTTGTAGTTGCATAAACGGAGGTTGTTGTCTAGGGCCCCCTGTGTAGTGTGGCCCTAACTAATCTATGAGAGCCTCCATCTTGGAGCATATATAGCAAAGGATGAATTGGGTGCAGGTTGGCCAGTTTGCCATTCCTCAAAGGGCACAGGGACACCAGAAGCCCCGCACATCACAATGGCAGCTGAAGCCCCCAGTGTGTCCCCACACCAAATCTAACAAGCAATCTAGATATGCTCCAAGATGGCGGCTCTCATAGATTAGTTAGGGCCACACTACACAGAGGAGCCTTGATGGGACAGTGCGGCTTCCACACATATTGCAAAAGCCATGACACTAGTAACGCCAATAGTTAGTGTAATGTGTGTTTCTTGCAGGCTGGCTGGTGAGTGTACCGGGATATGTTTGTGTTTCTGTGTTAAGCCCTTCCTCCATGTGCGCCTGACGGTAATACTGGTTAGGAATTGATTTGGGCGGTTGCCATTTGTATTGCTTGACTGACCTGTATCAGGTGTGCAGCAGGTGCAGTCAAAACCCCTGACCAGTGATGCAAAAATGAAGCCACGGATCAGCATGGAAGCAAGGTCGGCAATGGCAGCTTACTTGTCCTTCTCTATGGGAGTACGCCGCCCTACGCTCACCCCAAGCGCAGGTCCATACGGGTGCAGGTGTCCCGGCTCGGACGCAGACAGGATCCATCCTGTCAGCGTACAAGTATGGACACCCACAAGGACGTGCAGGGCGGGCAAGCGTAGGCGTACAGCCGCGTACTCCCATAGAGAAGGACAGGGCCTGTGTACTAATCACACGCAGCACCTGTCCTTCCTGGGAGCGGCCCGATACGGCCGTGCACAGAGCTGGACGTGCCGGCCTTTTCTCGTGTGAATAAGGCCTTAAGAGAACCTGTCCTGAGGAAGCAATGTGGTTGCCATGACTGACCTCTTAAAAACACTAGATTTTATTTTTGATGGAGCAGGGGTAGCCAAACTCCGGCCCTCCAGCTGTGGTGGAACTAAAAATCCCATGAGGCATTGCAAGATTCTCACAGCCACAGACATGACTCCCGGAGAGAGATGCATCATGGGATTTGTAGTTTCACCACAGCTGGAGGGTTGGAGTTTGGGGTAAGCAGCCTCAGCCCTCCAGCTGTGCTGACACTACAAGTCCTATCTCTGGGATCAGAAGCTTGTAGGTCCATAACAGCTGGAGTGCCGAGGTTGCCTATTCCTGGGTTAGAGCAATCTGTCTGTTTATTATCAGCTGTCTTTATCCCCGATTTAAAGATTTTCCTTCACTTACTGTCAGGACAGAAAATGAGCGGACATCTCGCTGTCGGGGACACAGACCAAACCCAATGCAGCAGAGTGAGGAAGGCTTGGAACTCATGACAATGTTTTAACTTCTGTCTGTGGCTTCATTTCCGGGTGAAAACCACGCCCACTATTTATTGTATGACCGGAAGTGAGGCAAAATCTTCCAATGGGGTCATAGAAATAAAAACCTAATTAAGTGGACTAAGAGTAAAGAAATGTTGTTGGTGTGATCATGAACTATAATTCACCACGACCCACAAAAACATAAATTGGCATGCATATTACTAAGATGTCCACCTATAAACCTGCAAAATGTCAGATCCCTAGCACATCCAGATCATGGTGAGGGGAAGAACTTATTGGCCTCCCCTTGTATAGCGCTGATCATCAAACAACAATAAAAAAGGGCGTGCAAATATAAAATAACACAATTACAGACTTGAAAAGTACCAATTCCGGAAAGTTCCAGTATTTGTCATGTTATATATCTGTGTTCCGATCCCCTCTCCCGTAGAGATAGAGAATATAAAAACAGCGGGTGACCGAGATGCCACTCGGAGTGTATATAATATTTGTATCAGTTTATTGTTGGATGACGTCTGTCGTGATAGGACCTCGGATGGTAATGATCTCTCCACTGGGGTCTCCGGGAGTAAGATTGGGGCATAGATGTAGTCATGCTTCACTCTACTGCAACCAAGAATTGTCCTTCTCTTTGTATTACAGATTACAATGAAGATGGTTCCTAAAATGCTGTCCCCATTGGTGAAAGACTGGGCCCCCAAAGCCTTTGTGATTTCCTTTAAACTGGAAACCGACCCACAGATATTAATCGAGAAATCTCGGAAAGCCCTGGCCACCTACCGCCACCAGGTCGTGGTGGCCAACATTCTGGACACGCTGAGATCCTATGTCATGGTCGTGACCAACACAGAAGAGGCAAAGCTCTCGGTGTCTGATGAAGAGGAGCGCTCCGGCATAGAGATCGAGGATAAGATCATCAATGACTTGACTTCACGTCATACCAATTTCATTGAGCAGACCAGCTCCAAGCAAGGGTTGTGATGGGTCTAGACTCTGCATGGGTCACGGTGCTCTACTACTACAACACGAGATTATGAAGGCAACTCCCTTTTCCAGGATCAACAAAGGTTCCAGCAACTTGCCCATTCCGTCCATGGTAATGCATCGGTACCTTTTATACTTGCCTGTCAGTTGCCGGAAAGAGCCTGATGGGGGAGAGATAGCCGTGGGACCAGCAAACAGACTTGGGGAAGAGATGAGAAGGCTAGTCGCATGTATCAAGGACAGAAAGGTGGGATAATAATCATGGACACGCATCTCTCTGGATGACCATCAAACTACATTCATGATATGATGTCTATGCAGATCTCTGTATGCTGCGCACTTCTGTATACAATGAATGGAAAGATATTACTGGAAATAAGATTCAGATTTTGTATTCTACATAGTGACCTGTTTATTGTTTTCAGTACAGACTGACCAATCAAAGGCTGTGCACTAAAACCAGGGAAACAAAAAATTGGAGACGGAAGCGCCACTACCTGGGGCAATAAATGTGGTAGAGTGGGGTGCAAGTGTTGTACTCACCTAAGGCTGGGGTGAGTATTCGCTTGTAATCGTCTGGTTGCAGTGAAGCGGATGGGGTGGAGTGGTGGTGGTAGTGGTCCCTCTTTTTCAGGGTGGTGTGGTGTTTCAACCCAGTAGGCAGAGGAATTCTGGTTTGGGGACGTGTATTCGCACAATACATGTTCCCAAAGCAGAATACTATTCTGCCTCAGGGACATGTATTCAGTTCTGGTGACATCAGTATGTAGCCCTGGTGAGAAACTGCCCTAAAATCATCAGTCGGTGTTTTCGAAAAAAAGTCACATGTCCTTTTAAGAAAAAGTATCGGTAATTGGTATCTTAGGGGAAGTACTTGGTCTTAAATAAGTGGTATCGGAACATCCCTACTTTAAAGTGACCCTGTTGCTGTAATACTTTTTATTTTAAATGAAGTCATACCTATAAAAGGTGTACATACTCCTTTATCTGCAGCCAGCATGCCGAACGTTGCTGTAATCCTGAGGGGAAACTTCTAGGACTGTCCATCTCTATGGTCCCCCACAGATCTCAAAGGTTCCTCCTGCTGACCTGCACACATTCCAGGACACACAGAGCTTTCTCAGGATCCAAGCTACGTTCAGCAGGAAAGGTGAGTATTTACATTCTGGATGAGTCGCCTGCCGGCTTCTAGGTAATCACAGGACGCTGCAGTGACATAGGGGGTCGGCTCTCACACAAGTAAGGACTGATTCTCTTGTTTTGTGCAATATTTGTTCAATTTCTCTACAGTCGCTTTTAGAGGACATGAGAGAATATCCTGGCATAGTTGAAATGTTTGCTAGAGTTGCTCTTTAACTTTTTCTTACCAGCCATATACTGTATGCGGCTGCATGGAGGTGGGCCTTATTCCATGCCGCCACATATGCCTTGCCGTTTTGTGCTCAAGCATGTACCACCAGCACTGTGACCACATTAATACCGGGAGATGGTAGCATGCGCTCCTAATCATGTGACAGCCAACTACAATGATCAGGAAGACTTCCCTTTTGTTGGTATGGCTAGAGAGGGGAGCAGGTAAACCCCAGGGAGCCGAGACCAAAAGAGGAGGGGAGCAGGTAAACCCCAGGGAGCCGAGACCAAAAGAGGAGGGGAGCAGGTAAACCCCAGGGAGCCGAGACCAAAAGAGGAGGGGAGCAGGTAAACCCCAGGGAGCCGAGACCAAAAGAGGAGGGGAGCAGGTAAACCCCAGGGAGCCGAGACCAAAAGAGGAGGGGAGCAGGTAAACCCCAGCGAACAACTTGCAGCTGCTGGCTGCCTCAACTGATGCTATTCATATATGTCTGATTTCTTTTACCAGCCGGCATCTCAGTGGGGTTCCAGGCGGCCACACTACTTAAATAATTGGGCGTTAGACAAGCTTCATTTACATATTTCCCCTGTTTGTAGGGTCCATACCCCATGTTATCTCATCTATCCACAAATGATCGTTGACATTGGATGCAGTATCACAGGAGTGTAAATCGCCCACAATGCACACTTACAAATAGAAGATGTTTTAATAGAAAATATAATGTAATATCTACAAACACATTATTTAAGCTTGATACTCTTCTTAACCCCGGCGCGGATTCCGGATAACTCCCCGGAGTATCTAACCTCCTCTTTGCGGACCTCTCGAACCTGGAAGATGGATTGAAGAATGGATTAGTTGTACACACAGGTATTTGGAACTGGCACTAAATTAAAACATGAGGAAGTGGCCAACCATTCATCTACATGTGAGATTCTAAGTGCTTGCTGGGAGGAGATTAGTGCTGATTGGGGGGGGGCGGGGCTGCAACAGACGTGGTGGATGGGCAGCTGTGTTAGACCCGTGTGCCTGTCATCGGTTCTGTGTCCACTCCTGCCCAGCGCACTGGTTGCCAGGAGCTCGGCAATACGTCAGCCAGAATGCCCCCGCCCAGCTCCCTGGCAACCGATGACGTCTGTGAGCTGGGCGGGAAGCGGAACACATCATCACAGGTTGCCAAGAGGTGTTGGCACCCTTGAATACTGTGGCCGCTCCTCTGTTGTGCCCCCCACACACACACCTGCCATCCCCTAATTAGATACCAGCAGAGGCACGGCCCTATTATAGGAATGGCCCAGATGCTTGTTAAAGCTTAGCGGCTCACTAGAATAGTGATGACAACCCCGGAGTCAGCATTGGCCGCTCCATTCTTTTTAGCCTTAAAGTGTCACTTTGCACTCCGCCATGCAGCTCATCCTCTGTGTGGAAGTCCGGAGGAAATGCTCTAAACCTGACAAACAATTAGTATATTCTCCGTTCCTTCTGCCCAGGTTGGCAGCCATGAAAACTTCTTTCACAATCCCGTCACTGACACCAGATAGACCATCTAACATGAGACGATCAATGCAATGGCCAGCTGATGTTTGTATATCTATGAAGACTGTGTGACCTCTGCAGGCTAATTTATCTTAGGGGAGGAAACAATCATCCGAGATGGGATTTACTACATAACCAGCATTACTTTCACAGTATGAGGGTCCATGCCGAGGGGCTTGTGTTTGCATAAGAACTGCATCTCTCCCCATACAAATCTAAATGAATGAAGCTTGGATCAGGACATGTGCAGCCGTGAAATTCTGAATACTCGAAGAAACGTCTCACACTAATGTCATTAACACGCTGCATGTGCCCATTGACACAGCCCCTACATCTGGAGACAGGGGTGTCTGCTTGTCACATACAAACATAACGTTATACAGAATGAGGACACTGGCCCCCAGAGGACAGAAACTGGCAACACTGGTGACAGATTGTGGTCATTGAGCTGTGGCTGCTCATCATTTACAATTCAGGCAAACACCGATGACGGCAATTATCCCTTAATCTGCACTCGGGCAACCATCTTTGTTAATCTATCAGTAATGTCTTCATTACGTTCTAATCCGCTTAGTGTAAGGACTTAACTCTGAATACGCTATACAAAAAGCACAGCAAAGCTACATTACATGTTATCCATATAAAACATTGCAGTGAGGGTTTAAAAGAAATAAAAATGACTGCAATATTTTAGGCAATTTGTCTATCACCTACCTGCAACGGGGGATGGGGAGAGAGAATGAAGGCGTCAGTCCCCTCAGCAGGTTATGCAACCTTACAACTATGAGCCTTATGTGACATTTCGGGTAGTGTGCTGGGCGCAATAAGAGTGTAATATAGTGTGGATTGAAGTCATTGTACACAGAACGATTTCAAAATAAAAGCAATTTAATGAATATGTACGATCTAGAGAATCGAGGGACACAGGAATTCAACTATCGGGACATCCAAAAGCAGTCCAAATGACACGTGGACAAACAGCAAATAATATGCTAATGGACCCACTGGAAATGACAGAACTGATCCTTATGGCCCAAGTTGGCATCAGATGAGGCCTGAAAACCTACCTGGTAAAACCTGGGGAGCCTACGAACAGAGGACCAGGTGGCAGCCTTGCAAATCAGAGAATCAGTTGACTGACCGTATCTGAATTCTTGTGTCCCTCAATGAACGAGGAAACATTTACTTTGGGTTTTTTTTTTTTAAAGGACAATTGAACTGATCCAGCCCTCCCGGATGATGGAGCTGCTTCCTAACACTGAGCCCTCAGACTTGTATGGGGCTGCCCGGAATGATGGAGCTGCTTCCTAACACTGAGCCCTCATAGACTTGTATGGGTCTGTCCTGGATGATGGAGCTGCTTCCTAACACTGAGCCCTCAGACTTGTATGGGGCGGTCTCAGACAATGCTTCTCAAAATGGTCCGGATACAAATCTATGAAGTTCTATCAAGGAGCACATTGATGGGAAACAATGGGAAATGCACAACTGGTGGTCTGAAGACTGGATCTTGGTGGAGTCTCTGGCCCAGACTAGAAGTGGTTTACAAAAAGGGAAAAAAACAAAACACACAGGAAACCTGGATACCCACATGGTTGTCAATGAACATACCTGGCCCTTTCTGCGGATCTTGGCACGCCTGAACTTCTCTCTGTGTTTAACTCTGGGGTTCCGGTCAATCTTCTTTCTTTTAGGTGTAAGTCCTTTATTTTTAGCAATCTGAAATGATGAAAGATAAACAGGTTCAGAAAATACTTTGTTTCCTCCAAGTTTTATACCACAAATAGACACATAAATAGAACACTAAAGTCATCTCACAAAGGCTACTACGTCCTAAAGTGATACTTCGGCTAGAAGTGGGATCTGGTGGCTTAGTTGCCCTCAGCGTTTTTACTCCAGTAGGGGACTCCAGTACCGAGATCTGCCGGCTACAGTTCCCAACCCACCTTGGAGTTTGAGGTGTACCGACACCTCCTGCTGCATTTTTACAATATAAAACACAAAATCTCCAGCAGATTTTTTTTATAGCATATCCCAGTCATCATTACGCTGTAGCCCAGTTATGGAGAATCCAATTACCCTGCACACGGTCTTAGTATTGTTACCTGGTAAGTAATAGCTCTCTTTGCATTAGGATCCGTTTCTTCTGTCGGCTCCTCATCACTAGGAAGACACAAATACAGCTTAGAAGAAGAAGTTCCCATATATAACATACATCATGTGATGCCATTATTACATACACTGTCTCTTTTTCCCCACGTTTCCTTTTTTCCCGTAGCTTATTCTCCATCATCTTGTAATAATTAAGAGCATCTTCTTCATCCATATCTGCGTCAGAGTCTTGGGGCTGCTCCAGAGGACGCTGTAATAAACATAGAAGTATACAATGAGCAGCACCTACCAGGTATTAGTGCAAACAATAGCAACTGTTTATTTTTAGCATTAGAATCATTATCGGCCCCTCGAGTGGAAAGTGATTTGATACGATTAAGGTACATGCACTGTGTAGCCAAATGATTGAGGATGCCGGACCTTCACACCTGGTCAGGACACCAGTGATGTGGTACAAGTTTCAATAAACTATCCCGGCGAAATCCGGTGTGTGCCAAGCTTTTCTTCTGCTTGTACTGACCAACACACCTACTCTACAGACCATCACACCTACTCTACAGACCATCACACCTACTCTACAGACCATCACACCTACTCTACAGACCATCACACCTACTCCACATGGAGAATTGTCTGGACACCCCTTCAAATTACTGGGTTCAGGCGTTCCCAGTCAAGAGTGTAACTAATACTACGGCATACAGACCAAATTTCCAACTATCTGGTAACAGTCTGGGGAAGCCTTTTTCTGTTCCAACATGACTATGCCTCTATGTACATAGCCAGCTCCATAAAGACATGGTTTGAGGAGTCTGGTGTGGAGGAAATCGAGTGGCCTATCAAAAGCCCTGGCCTCAGCCCTACTAACATGTCGGGGATAAACTGGAACGCCGACAGAGTCATGTCATCCCATCCAACATCAGTACCTGTCCCTCACAAGAGCTCTCTGGGCTGAATGATCACATTTCCACAGACACTCCAGAATCTTGTGGAAAGTCTTACCAGAGGGGTGGAGGCTGCAAAGGGGGGGGGGGGG